ACCTTTGTGTGGTGTATTTATTGCTTCTGTATTTTCCAGTATCTTCTTTGGGGTCTTTAGACAGTATTGATCAAAGTGTATAACAATTAAAGCAACCTTATATTCATACCAGCTATAGTTGGTTGACTATAGTTCTGACCAAACTATAATTTCTGATCAAGGAAAATTTTCTTTGAATTCCAATGGTCATGGCTTTCTAGTAGTAAAGAGTCCTATAGCATTCTGATATGCTATTGGATAGCTAAACAATAATGGACAATAATAAATAACTGAGCATGTTTACCAGGTGTTGGGGCACAGTGTAAAGTGCTTCATATGCATTCATCTTCCATGACAGCCCTGTGAGATAGTCTTATTGTCCCTGTTTTATAGGGGCTCAAGTAGCCACAGTCACACAGGGGAAAAGGCCCTATACTTTGTTAGGGACACTCCAGGGTGCTCACTTCAAAATTACACTGTGGTGGTGCTTAAATTAAAACATCACTATTTGTACTGTGATCATGAAACATTTCCATTTAGAGCAGGTATTCATTAGGCAATGACAATACATAATACCATTCTTTTAAATTCTTAGCTTCTCTGGTGAAGTGATCAAGTTTGAATATAAGACCTTTAAGTTTTGGCCTAAGCAATAAGCGCTTGCCTCCTCTTCCTGGGTTTAATCCTGACTTTGTCTTGCTGTCTCACCTGAAAAGTCTGGGATGACGACCGGATTTCATCTTGCACATTAAAAGTCAGGAAAAAAATATTATGAATGAGATAATCTCACAGGAAGGTTCAGTGCAGACCTAACAAGTGGTGGGACCAATCAGGGCCATCTCAGAGGTGAGGGCAAGGTGGGCTGTTCCGAACTCAGATCTCAGTTTAGAAGCTTGAAACTTGCTTGCCCTTCTTCCTCTTCAAACATTTACTCATTCTTCAACTCTCACTGCTCTAACCTCTGGTTCTGGATTAGGCCCCCTTGTGTTATTATTCTTTCCTACTTACCTCTCTCACCTGATATCTCTAATCATATTAATAATGGCCTCATTACTTGTATCTAACACTAATATTCCCCCCTACTAAGAGTTGGGGGTTAATAAACTCCATAATGGATGTCTTGTTACTTACAGCCTGGCAAACAGTAGGTACTCAATAATTATTTGTAGACATTGCTGTAAAAAAAACCCTGTAATTTAACAAACTGCTTCCCCCACCCCATGCAGACCTTTTTAGAAAATTGTCTTGGGAATGTTAACAAAATAAGTTTCCCAATGTTCGGTTATTTGAATTCTTTATGTAGAAAACAACTCTGAATATCTTTCTGTACTACTTTTAGCAGGGGACATAACATTAGGGTCAAAAACCAAGCTAATCTGTGTTAGGTATGAGATTCAACGATAGATGTTTAAATTCATTATCTCCAACCCTCTCAGGGTAAGAATTACATGTTTTAGAAAATAACAAAAGGGCTGTATTAGTCAGAGATCTCTAAAGTTAATAGCACAGTGTGTGTGTGTCTGTGTGTGTTGGGAGAGGGTGAGATTTATAATAAGAAATTGGCTCATGAGATTATGAGGCTAACAAGTCTCAAGATCTGCAAGGTGACTCAGCAAGCTGGAGACCCAAGAGATCTGATGGTGTAGTCTCAGTCTGAAGACTGGCAGACTTGAGGTCTAGAAGAGTAGATGTTTTAGTTCAAAGGCAGACAGGCAGGAAGAATTTTCTCTTCCTCTGGGGCGGGGGGTGGGGGGGAGGTCAAACTTTTTATTCTCTCCAGGCCTAGTCTATCAATTTAAATGTTAATCTCATTCAAAAACATCCTCACAGATACACCTAGAATGTTTGACCATATATCTAGACACTCTGTGGCCCAGTTGACATAAAATTAACCATCACAGAGGTTCACAAAAATTTATTTCTTTAAAGTCTCAACTAATTAATGATAGAGCAGGGATTTGAACTGAAGTGTGAATTAAAAGCCCACGATTGTCACACCAGTTCTCTGCTGCTCCAAAGAGGTAATAAATGTAAGTAGAAAGCCTTCCAGATTGACAGACACCAGAAGCTTTGGTCTTTTTCACAGTTGCTTTCTCTTCTCTCAAAGCAATGTCCACAGATTTTAAATATTCCAAGTGCCACATTTCCTTTCTCCATTATGTGCATACTAGCTTAAAACAAGCTGATCTGAATAGCAGCATTATTCATTCATTGGTTGGTTTTTATACTAGGAAGTTTAGGCACAGAAGTATTAATTAGACTAAATTACAGCAAATCTTGTCAAGATAGCTATACAGTAAATTTTCCAAATAGGCATGTTTAAAAGTCTGTAATACTGGATGTAGAGGAACAAACTTGAAAAAAGAAATCATGGTTTGGGGGTAGAACAAGACAGAAATACTTTTTGGCAATTACTTTTGTAATAGTTTTAAATTACATTCAAATCTCTTATTGATTCAAACAAGTATTTATTGAGCACCTGCTATGTAATTGTAACTGTTCTGGGTACTGAATCTATTGTAATGATCAAAATTTGAAACATTTTCTTTCTTTGGGGTTGAAAAGAGCCTGTAGCATTACCAATGACTTGGCGAACCAGATGACAAAAGCATAATGGAGTCAGAGAACTGTAAACTGAAAGCTGCTGCAAGTGACCAGACTTTGAGGGGCACAAAAGTACTTCTGGATCAGGAACTTCAGTGCATTCACTGGATGGCATTGTTAAACTAAGAATTGTAATTTATGGTTTAACAGTTTCATTATCAGAGACTCTACACTAGGTGGCGTACAGGGTCAGGATGGAAGTGGTAACCAGCCAATGTTATTTTAACTTCTGTGCTAGAAGCAGCTTCCCAACGGATTCTACATAGAAATGGTATTAAAAGAGGAAGGGATGTGGTTGTTTAAGTGATGATCAAAATGCTCTTTGTTGGAATGTATACCGAGCTGAAGAGATGAGGAAAAGGTTCATGTGATAGCTACAGGGCAGACTGCAAGTTGCAAAGATTAAGGAAAACTGAGCAATTTTAAAAGTATAAAATTAATGGTATTGAAGTGAACGCACAGCCTTATTGCCTAGAAGGAGCCTGTGTCAAGAAAGTTGAGGATGAAGTAAAAGGACTGCTCTGCAGATGGATTACATAAATGAAAGTTTACCTTTCATAGTTTGGAGAAATAAAATTAACAGATTTAGCTACATTTAATTGATAGAACTGTAAGAGACATCATCTCTCATAACTATCTTGTAAATGGAGTTACATGAGCTACTGTCTAAGCCAATAATGAAAATGATGGTAGGCAGTATTACCAGCAAAAAAATAACTTACTCTACTGTAATGAGCAGGTGGGCAATGTTCAAAATTATTTTAAACATAAAGCTGGGAATTGATATAACTCTGTACACGTACAAATGAAAACAACTTTTGAAATAGTGCTTGAAGTCCAGATCTTGACAGAAATCGACTTCTGTTTATCTAAGGTTGGAAGAATTACAAAGAAATAGACTATCCTCAGACATACAGGTATTACTGAAAGTGAAGAACATTGTTTACACAATGGCTACCTGACAACATTCTCAGCTTGGCACTCTTCTGCTCCACGTTCGACGTTGAACTGAGTTTTTTTTGTTGTTCACAGACTAATGGATAACACCATATCAATACTCCTAATTTATAATATTACTTGTATTCACTAATTTACTGATTAAAATCTTATTGCCAGTCTTTCTCATTTGGCAGGATTCCTGACTTCAGTTAATAAATGCAACTCTTTTATGAAACACTTCTTCACAAATCCAGAAAAAATAAACTTCCCACAGGAAAGGCAGATGCTGTTAATAATCATCCTTTGCAAATCTCCATGTCGAGTATCTTATTTAATCCTTTGAAGTGATAGGTTGTGAAAAGATTAGGAGGGATTGGTATTATCCTTATTTGGATCCTTGATGGTAGACTGAAGTGAAAACCATTTTTTAATATTAATAACTTTGTATGTAGCTTCAATGCATTACGTTAATAATCATATATGAAGAATTTCAAATGCAAAAATTAAGTATCAAAATCAATAAAACTACTAGGCTTAGTTGTTCTCAGACTTTTGAATTTCATGGAGCAGTTAAAAAAAAAGTGGGGACCAATAAAAGGCTGCCAACTTTTTATTTTGCCAATGGTATTTAAAGCAACTAATACTACCATCAGTAACATTTCATAAAAGGATACTTCAATATCACAAAAGTTGGAGTAATCTTATCATAAAAATTAGAGTTGATAACCTTCTATCAATCTTATACTTTGTGGATACTGAAAATTTAGTCTTGGCCTAGAATTTGGGAACAGTTGCCTAAAATGCCATTTAGTCCAACTACTTTAATGAAAAGACTGAGAGGTGAGTGGCCTGCCTGAAAACTGCAGGGAAAGAAAGCATAGCTGCTGACAGCTAGTAGAGTAATACACCCTCACAGATACCCAAGCACTAAACATGTTGCTAATTAGGAATCTTAATTGACATTTACCTTTAAACAAAACAAAACCAAAATCCTTCAAAACTAATGCAAAATCAAATAAATCCACCTACTTTGTAGTAGAAAGACTTGGTATACATGACTGTACCTGTTAAAATTCGTCAAGGAAAATAACACCAAATCGTAAATTATATAATCTATGTAATATGACATAATCTAAACCGTGAACTTTTAATTCTCCAAAATGTTTCATTTTCAATTACATTATCTATAGAAGATGCTTAATAAATGTCTGTTGCATGAACAGATGTCACTCAAAGTCATTGCAAATCAAGTTTCTTCATAACATTAGAAACTTCTCAACCTAGTACAAAATCTTATTTCAGAAATCACCGGAACATAATATAGAGGAAAAAAATATGATGGTGGTGTGGGGGATCTCCACTTGCCTGATTTCTCAATCAAATGAAAAAGCAATTAGAAGCTTTTGGGTGCTTAAATGAGAACAGTTAATTGTGCACTTCTGTGTGAAAACATCTCACATTAACTTAACCACACCCACTTTACTTTTAAGGTTAACTAAGTAACATGAAAGTTTTAATATCCAAAGGAACTCTAGTTCAAGAACACATAATAAAATTTTAACATGATCCTAAAAAGAAATTTATCTAAATATTTTACACTATCAAAACCTATGGTAGATCCACATTTGAGTTAAGGTGATCATTTCCAGTTTCACAACACACATACCCACATAATCTTATACCTCTGAAAAATAGTTCTGAAAATTGGCACTAGTTTTCCCTATAGTTAGAATTGGCACTAACTATAAAAAATGCATGACTAATAATTTCAAATTCAAAATTTTAGTTTAGTGGAGTCTCTGATAATGAAACTATTAAACCGTAAAAGAATGTAAAAGAATGCCCCTTTATCAGAAACTTTGGAAGTTCATAATTTTCTCTTTGAAATGGTTAATTTTTTAAAAGCATGATGCTGTCTTTTGCTGATCCATTCATACGTATTTTTAAAAAAGGAGGAAGGGCATGGAAAAAAATTCACCCTAAGGATCTGATAAAATCATGTATTATTTTAAATTTTGTACTGAAGGTGTGCTTTGAAGACACATCCAAGCAAGTCACAAGGGCTACTTAAAACCAGTATACACAAGCTGGGTGCCGACTTTATCTACCACAATACATAAAACTGTACATCACATAATACAGAATTGCCAATGTTTGGTTTCATTGATTCCTGTGACTTCCAAGGTAATTCTGGGATTTAGCAAGTTGAAGTTAGTGATTGACACCTACTATGAATTCAAATATACTAAAAGAAATGAGAAGAATGTTTACCTGTTACTTTTGTCAAATTGTCTGCCTATATTACATAATTGTCATGGTTTTTCCTTTTGACCCATAAAATCCAAAAAACTTGCTTTAAAAAATGTTAACTATTCCTGTCTTCTTTTATTGTTCCTATTTAGTTTTCATTTTTCTTTCTGAATCAGTAATGAATGTAATATTTCTGGTGTGAGTCTTTGAAGAGTATAACATAAATACTTGTTTTCAAATTTTTGCTTTTAAGAAAAAGATCAATTTAAAAAATGAAATTATTTTGTTCCCCAAAATAATTTTACTAGATTCAGTCATGTGCCTGATTATCAAGAGTGGGAAAGAAAAATGTTCTCATGCCTTTGATCTTGCCTTGTGACTACTATTTCTGTCATGATGTATGGCTTTGCGTTAGACAGACTTGATGTAATGTGCTCCAACTCCTTCATTGTCCCAGCTTGAGTGCTCGCCATGCCTTGGACTAGAATTCTTGAACATTATATTTTAAGACATCTTTCATGACTACTCTAAATCTATTATCCCTGTGATCTAAATTTCCACTATTGATTACTTTAATGGATCAATTAAATATATTAAATATTCATGAAGATGAATACAAAGAAGTTACCGCCCCTTTATTATTGACCTGGCCCGCTTGTAAATAAGCTGAATAACATTCAAAGTTCATTTTGATTGAAAACTGGGAAAACACAGAAGCCATATTTTGTGTCATTACCACTGCCAAGAAGAAAATCAAGGTCATAACAGATTTTTCCTAGATTTTAGTAAGAGATTAATGTAGCTTAATCACACTCAACTTACTTCTAGGTTAACTAATAAAAGGTGATAATTTTTCTTGAAAGTTACAAGTATAATCTGCATATACATGATTTTGAGAATAATTTAATACATTAACTTCAACTATATTCTAATGTAATTATATTGAATGTAAAGAAACGGATCCTTACAAGAAAGACCAAAATAACCCATAGGCTATGAGGTTGGTTTAACTTTTTCCTTTTCTTTTTGTTTAAACAAATGTGCACCACAATGGTTCAACAAGTAAGGCAAATGCCATGAATATGAAAGCTGTAGTTTGCAATATACCACATCTAGAACCCAGAGGTGAATTAGACAGAACTGGTAGTCATTCTAATTAAACAATCAGGTAACATCATGACAAGTTGGTTTGCAGCATTAAAACTGTCCATTTAAGTTTATTTTTTCTTAATGATCAGAGGTCCCACGTTGTCTCCAGTTTCTTCATTGTGTTTTATGTGAGCTCCATCACAGAATGGGAACTAGGAAGAGAAAGAGAATGTAAAATGTCTAATCGTAAAATTAGTATTATGTTTGGCAGATGAAGTTCAATTCACATATATCTCTTAATACAAAATTGCATTTCCATTTGTGACATTTGATTATGTTGAAAACCTTTTCCATGTTTATGTACTAGTTTCATGTCTTTTCTAGTGAATTAGCTATGTCCATTGCCTATTTGTAAGAGCTTAAGCTCATATTTAAAATCAATTTGTATATTATTCCTCTGTTGATCATCTTTGTAGCAATTTTCCCTCAAAACCTTTATGTTGCTCATTTTTTCATACCCTTAATTTTTCCACTTTCATACAAAGAGGCCAATGTTTCCCTTTCTAACATCTTTCATGGAGACTTCCTTTTTCTAGAGATGTAGATTTCCATTCCTTTTCATGATTTCACATTTTAGATATAACTGACATTTTGGTGTCCAGTAGGAGATAAAGGGACAAAACTAAAATATTAAGTGTTTCCCAGAATGTGCTCCAAAGTGCTGCAGTATATTCTGATATGGTTTCATTCTGTTTAAAAAACAAACATGGCTGTTTTGATTCACAACATACATTATTTTTAAGAGATCCTGTTATAAAAAACACTGTTTTAACTCAAAATCTCCCAAGCTGACTGAACCATGAACACTTAACTTTAATATCCATTATTATGGCATTCTATAGAGTACAATTTACAAAATGCTGTTCTAGATGTTGCTGCTTCAATACTATTAGAGGCTCTTGCTTCCAAAATTTACACATTTTCTCATAATTTTATCAACATAATTCTACATATAAAAATGCCTATTTATAGGTTCTATATTTTCATATTCATCAGCCCGCTCCACTGGGATAATTGTAAAATATGCCTAAAACTGGGCTAGTTTTCCTTCATATTACTCTTTATTAAACTTTTACTATTTATTCTTTCTATAACTTTATTAAACTTTACCTATTTATTCCTCCAGATAAACATAAGAATTTTTTTGCTAAGTCCTATTTTATTTCTCTTGCAGTTTTCATCCTCAGGTCTCATGCATGTTCTGACGAGATTTCTGCCTTATATGTTTTGTAGTTATTATAATTAGGTATATTTTCATACCTGACTACTTTTTCTCTCTCTGAGATCAATGGTTTTGCAACTATAACCTTCCTACTGTCAAATGATAAAAATAATTCAACGTTTTAGATGCCTCCTCAGGATTTTACACTTAGAAGTTCTAATTATCAGTAAATTATTGTTTCCTTCTATAGTTTTCTATTTCATGTTAAACGATGATAGCTAGCACCTTTGTTTTATTTTTGGTGTCTGGAATGTACGTACACTCTAGAACTAGAGCTTCATGTTTAGTATAAGGTACACTGTTGCTTGAAGGAGTCTATTTAGAAGAGTAAAGTAACAAGTCTTGGCCTTATGAGTAAAATCGCTTTATTACTTACAGTGAAGGAAGTATAATTTTATATACATGAAACTAGATAATGATGGCATATAATCTTAAACTTTGAGATTTAAAGTGTCTAGTCTAAGATTAAAATAATATTTGGTTGATGTCAAAGAAATTCAATTTTTAATTTTACTATCTGTATCTAATTCTGAGAGGCAGTAAGTTAGTTAAAAATTACAGAAAACTCAAGTTCTCAGCATATCTTATATTTCTAGGTATAAATTCTATCTTGGGGTAGATGGCAATATAAATGTAATGTATATAAAGTTTACAGTATTTCTTTTATTTTTAGGTCAATAATAATTCACAGTAAAAACAAGTCCTTGAACATGAACCCAAGCTTTCAAGTTTTTTTTTTTTTGACAAAGTTGATAAAAGACGCCATAAAAAAAAAAATCAGGCTAAAACATATCCTACAGCAAAGAACAGGATTTCAAAGTGTCATATGTTTAATAAACACAGATCATTTTACAGTGAGAATAAAAGTTTACAGTATAAAAGACTCCATTTTTATAAACAGCGCACACAAAACATGTCACTGCAAAGTCTTATGCACACAGGTTATAAAATATATTTCTGGAAAATGAAATCTGTGTAAATTAAAAAGCCTCAAATAACTTACGATGTAGCATGTTTAACTTTTATTTCTTTTTTAATCTAATGTTAAAAATATTAGAAAACTATTTTTTCAAATTATATTTCTTCTATATATAGAATCAACAACAGGAGAGAAATCTATAGAGAAATTAAAAAAAATCTTTTAAAAGATTAAGAAAGCTATACATCAAAAATGAGAATGTACCTTTTATAACAATCTGGTTCTGCCTAAAAACTAAAAATTCACGTTTCATCATGTTCTGAAAAGAACACAAGTAAAAAATATTTCTTTAAAAAGTAGTTAGTAGTAGTCCCTGGCTATTTGTTAACACAGTTTCATGCTTTTAAAGTGTCTAAACTTTTATGCATTTAAAATATAAACTAGGTATTAAAAATCATATTTTTCAGAGGCAGATACCTTTTAATAGTACTATTATCACTTAACCACAGGAATTGACTTAAGTCAGAATCATCTCCTAAATTTCATGTAAAGATTAAGTATTCTCATTATATTTATACATTAGGGATTTCTCATTTTAAGTTATGAAACAAACATTTTATTTTCAAACAATAGCGAAAATGAGTTATTTGAAGATGACGTTAACAATTTCTTAGGAATGCTTTGTACATGTCAATGGAATATATTTACTGAAATTACTTCATGATTCTTAATATAGTATAAATGAATGGTAATTATTTGGCATTAAAATTTAAATAGTGAAGAACTGGGGGAAAAATAGTGTAGATGACAGAAGCTCTGTTCAACTCTCTGGCAACCAAATCAAAGTTTTGACAGAAACAAGGAGCAAACAGCAAGGAAAAATCGCCTGTGATCTAGATGAACAAGCCATACAACTAGACGAAATCTAAGAAATCACCCTGCAACAGCAGACGGGCGAGGACACGAGGCTGCCCGGTACCGAGCAGCTGAGTGGGATGGAGGTTGCAGCAGCAGCAGCTGCAGATGCCTCTTAACTGGGCCGTGTCTGTGAGCAGACTTTCACAGTGATGGACCTGCCCACTTTGAGCATCAGTGCTGGTTCAGCTGCGCAGGGACTTACAGAGGGACACTGAGTTGTCAGAGTGAGGCCCTAGGGGAGATCGCTCTGTAGAGAAGTGCGGGCAGTATCCATTGTTCCCCTATTGAGCCACCCCCTTCCCAGTGTGCAGACACAACCCCACCATAGCGGAGACCTCATCAAACTGGATAACAGAGGTCGCTCCACCCAGAGGATTCCCAGAAACTCCACCTCCCCCAACTCATAGTCCCACCCAAACCACATCCAGGTGTATCCTTGGCAAGTCAGGTGCTCCTTGCTGAGCAGTGCCTAGACTCACACTTGTGGCAGCTGGCCTCGGTTTCTGGTGGGGCCTTTGAGGCAACTATAAGAACAGCATCTGTGGATTGCTTACTGAATGGTGGCCCCAGAGGGGTAGAGGCTTGGGCTAAATTTGGCGTGCAGCTGAACCCCTCAGGACTGTGCCACTGGACACCTACTACACAAATCCACACTAATAAGACCAGGAGACTTAGGAGTTTTGCTTAGTACATAGAAAGGCAGCCAAAATGGGAAGACAAGGAAGCAGAAACCATATGAGAGAACAGAACAGAGATCCAGAAATAATGGAGCCAAGCAATCTAACAGATGCAGTTCAAAACTCTGGTTATGAAGATGTTCAATGAACTTAGGGGAAGTGTAGATGAATTCAGTGAGAACTTCAACAAAGAGATAAAAAACATAAAAATGGAAATTACAGAAGAAAACCAGTCAGAAATGAAGAACACATTAGCTGAGATGACAAGTATATTAAATGGAATAAACATAGTCAATAAAGAAGAGGATCAAATGACCTACATAGAGGATGGGAAAGCCAAGGACGCTCAATCAGAATGGCAAGAAAAAAGAAGCCAAGAATATAATAATAATTTAAGGAGCCTATGGGACACTATTAAAGGTAAAAATATTTGTGTCATTGGGGTACCAGAAGGAAAACAACATGTTGAACAGCTATTTGTTGAAATAATGATGGAACGCTTCCCTCACCTGGTGAAGGAAATAGACGTACAACCCCAGGACGCTCAGAGAGTCCCCAAAACCAGGAACCCAAAGAGACCCACACCAAGACACATCATAATTAAAATGCCAAAGGTTAAATAAAAGAGAGAATCTTAAAAGCAGCAAGAGATAAGCAGATAGTTACTTACAAGGAAGCGCCCATAAGACTGGCAGCTGATTTCTCAAAAGAAACTATACAGGACAGAAGGGCTTGGCACAAAATATTCGATGTGATAAAAATCCAGGATACAACCAAAGATACTTTATCCAGCAAAGCTATCATTTTGAGTTGAAGGACAGATAAAGAGCTTCCCAGACAAAAATAAGCTAAAGGAATTTATCATCACCAAGCCAGTATTACAGGAAATGTTGGAGGGACTTCTTTAAGAGGAAAAAACATGTATCAAAAACAGGAATAAAGAATAGTAACAACTACATTCCTATCAACAAGTATCTCAAATGGAAAAGAGTTAAATGCTCCAACCAAAAGACAGAGTGGCTGAATGGATAAGAAAATAAGATCTCTACATATGCTGCCTACAAGAGACTCACTTCGGATTAAAAGACACACACAGACTAACAGGAAGGGGATGGAAAAAGATATTGCTTTGACGGACCTAGAGGGTATTGTGCTGAATGAAATGGGTCACATGATTCACATACATGTGGAATCCAAAGTGTAAACGCATAGATAGAGAATATTTAAAGGGATACTAGATGGGAGGGGGAAAAAAAGGCAAAAGGCTATAAGAGGTACAAATGGATAGTTGCAGAATAGACATGGAGATGTGGAGTGTAGCATGGGGAAGATGCTTAATAATGTTGGAATTAATATGTAAAGGGGAAAAGTGGTACTAAATTTAGTGAGGTGATCACTTTTAGAGTTATGTGGATC